TCCCCAGTACCAAAAAATAAATAAATAAATAAAAATAAAAAATAAAAAATAAAAAAACAATTTAAAAGTCTACTTACATGGTTTGTTTGTTTTTGTTACTCTGTATGTACTGTGACTTTTCTCTCTTGACACTTCCTATAAGCATCCTTTGACGTTTCTTCCAGAAGATCCCCTAAGGCTTTCTTTATATTACTCATTATCAGCAGATTATGCTATGTCTTAAATCAGGCACAGTGGTGCACCCTATAATCCCAGCATTCTGGGAGGCTGAGGTAGGAGGAGTGCAAGTATTAAGCCCAGTTGGGGCAATTTAGTGATTTAGTAAATTTAGTGATTTAGTTAAACCGTATTTCAAAATAAAAAAGGGCTGGGGATGTAGCTCAGTGTGAAGGCCCTGGGTTCAGTGTGAGTACTGAAAAAAAAAAGACATGTCTGGGTAAAAGTTTCTTCATTTTTTTTTTTTGTGCTTAGAGTTTGTTCAACTTTTTGTAGCTATAGACTTATACCTGTCATCAATTTTTGGAAAATGTTCCACCATTATTTCATTATTTCCTAAAATATTTCCTTGCTCCCACTCCCCTTCAAAGACTTCATATATAACAAAGTGAGAATGGTTTATATTATCCACAGACCACCAATGCCAGCTTGTTGTACTCCTTTTTTTCTCTATATTTTATTTTGGATAATTTCTTTCACTATGCGTTCCAAGTTCCCTTTTTATTGTGTTGTCTTATATACTGTTAATCCTGTCCAGTGTATTTTTTATTTCAGATGTAGTTTTCACCTCTAGATGTTTAGTTTGCTTCTTTTTGTAACTCCTGTTATGTTCCTGTGTTACCTTATTGAGTGCATTTATAGTTGCTATTTTAACATTCTTGTCTACAAAATGTATCATCTATGATATTTCTGGGTCTGTAATTTATTAATCTATTTATAAGGTTGTATTTTTCTACTTATTTGCATACCTGGTAATTTTTGACTGGATATTAGACATTCTGAATTCTGTGGTTTGTGGCTGCTGGATTTTATTCCTTTAAATATTGTTGGACTTTGTTCTAGAATACAGTATGTTACTTGGAATAATTTTGTTTGTTCGTTTGTTTTTATGATGCTGGGAAGGGAACCCATGGTCTGTGCATGCTAGGTAAGCACTCTACTCTACCATTAAGCTATATCCCAAGTTCCACTTTGAGACCTTTTCAGCTTTGTTAGAATGAGTTCTAGACTGCCTTTGGTCTTAGGGCTAACATGACCCAGCTACAATATTCTGAGAACTTACTCGGTGTTCTTTTTTTTGTAACACAGGCTCACTCTCTGTAGTTCAGGCTGCCCTTGAACCTGCACTCCTCCTGCCTCAGCCTCTGAAGTACTGGGGTCATGTGTATACACCACCATTCCCAGCTCAGTGTCTTATATTGGAAGGTCCTCCACCTCTCACTAATGAAAAAATGAACTGTTTCCAACCTTGTGTAAGGACTTGGGGTTGTTGTGCTTGTATGGCCTTACCCTGTCTTCTTGGGTAATTATTTCCCTAATCTTAGTTTTTTCACATGCATGTGCAGCTTTCAGCTAAAGGCTTCAAGGACTACCCTGTAGATGTCTGGAGCTTTTTCTTTGCTGCTCCATTCTCTCTAGTATTTTGCTACGTAAGTTCTGGCCACCTTGCCCTCCCTGAACTCCAAATGCATTCTCTCTAACTCAGCATGTTGGCTGGGCTCCATTTGAGTTGCCTTTCTCTGCTACAGCAGGTGATATAGGCAGTGAATTGAGGTGCTCACAAGACTTGACATCTTTGCTTCCCTTTTCATAGGGGCTAATCTGCTGTCTGCCTTTTACGTAAAATCCAGAAACCATTATTTCTTCCATTTTGTCTTACTTTCTGATTGTTGAGGTAATTGGGTAAACCTGATCTGTCATAGATGGAATTGTAAGATTAAATGAAGCTTTAAGACTTCTCTGAGCACACAAATGTCAACATAGTCTTTGGCTTTCCATTCTGATAAAAAATGTTGCAGGAAAAATGCTTCTATTCTTGTCCTAAGTTAGATTACCTGATTCATTTTTATGCTTTAAAAAAATAGGTCATACATCTGAATAGCTAGAAAATAAAGGATGTATAGTCAAAAGTTGTAATCAACTTCAAAATAAATTTTGTGGTTTGTTTTGTTTGCTGTGCTAGGGATTAAACTCAGGATTCTTTGTCCTTTATCCATCTAGTTCCTAAGTAATGTGTTTCCCCACATTCAGATATTAATTTCTTCTGTATCTTTCTGTGCATTTTTTCTCATTGACCATCACATATATTCTTATCCCAGTTCTCTTATTTTACATAAAGGATAGCACCCACATATACCATGCTTTAAAAGAAAAAAGCATTATATTAAAGAGCTCTTTCCGTATCAGCTCACAAAAACCGTACTTTTGGGGTTTTTTTGTTTTTTTTTTTTTGGTCATGCTGGGGGTTGAACTCAGGGCCTTGCTAGGCAAGCTTTCCATCCCTGAGCTGCATCCCTGGCCCCAACACATACTTTTTAAATTGTGAAGCTGCTGAATATTCCGTTTCATGGATTAAATAATAATTTGTTTGGTTCCTATATAATCATTTGTTCCCAGTTTTTGTTGTTACAGGTAGTGCTAAAATGAGTAGCCATGACCATATTTTATTCTGTACTTGTGAAATTGTATGAGTAGAATACCTCTGAGAAATAGAAACTATTCTGCCGAGGTATATATTTACTTTTAATTTTGATTATTGATAAATTGCCTTCCTTTGAAGTTGTATCATTTTATGTTGCATTGCATAGTATGAGAATGTCTATTTCCTGTATTCTCAAGATTACACTCAGATTTTTGTGCATTAATTTTTAAAATAGCTTATTGCTGGCATGTAGCTCAGTGGTAAAATACATCTAGTATGCATGAGACCCTGGGTCCCATCTCCACCACTACAAAAAACAAAATTGTTTAAAATGGTATGGTATAGTAGTTTTAGTTTGCATCGTTGTTATCAGTGAAATTGTGCATCTTTTCTATGTTAAGATCCATCTATATTTCCTTTCTCTGTACACTTGATATTCTTTACCCATTTTCTATTGCACTGTTGGATATATTTTCTGTCTTATAGGAGCCCTTAGGGAGAGTAGTTCTTTGTCTTTGATGCTGTTTGAAATTATTTTTTTCAGTTTGTTGTTGGACTTTTGACATATGTTTTTTCCCATACATACAAAGTGTTTCTAGTTTTTGGATTACATTTAAAAAGCATTTGATAATTTAAAAGATAGCCAAAATGCAGCCAAAACTTTTTCTTTCTTTCTTTTTTTTTTGCACTGAGGATTGAACTCGGGACCTTCTGCTTATGAGGCAGGCGGTGGAACCATTGAGCTAAATCCCTTGCCTTACCAAAATTTTAAGAAAGATAGCCAACTGGGTGTGTTCTAATCTATGGGAGGCTCAAGCAGGAGAATTGCAAGTTCAAGGCCAGTGTAGACTACACAGTGAGTTCAAGGCCCCAGCCTAAATAACATAGCAAGACCCTGTCTAAAGAAAATGAGAAAAAAAGGGACCTGGAATTTAGCTCAGTGGTGCCATGCCTGTCTGGCAAGCGCAGGGTCCCGGGTTCCATCCCCAGTACCAAAAAGAAATGGACAAATACTACATCCTGAGAAAGACCTATAAAATATAATTTGTTGTGCTAACTGCTTAATATTCATAATATAAGGGGGAAGAGATGCATTTGCTTTAATTTGAACATAAGCAAGTATACCTCACATGAATTTAATAGCTAGCCATATAATGTATAAGTGAAAGGTAGACTCAAGTTTGCCATGGTATAGTTGTATATTATTTTAGATAATTAATAGGTATTCATCTCACTTAAATATACCACTCTAATAGGAATATTGTTTTTAGTATCTTAAAATTTCATTGCAATCTCATCATTAAAATCTATCTCTGGAATAAAATCAAGAGTTTAAGTTATAAGTTCAGAATATATGAGTATGCTAAGAAAGTAGTGAGTTGATGTTAATATCTTTCAAAGCTACTTTTTCTTTCTGATTATCTTTCTTTTTTATCTTATAAAGGGAAATTGTGAATATGAAATCCTTTAATTCCTTACAAGTATTGAATTAGAGAGCATAGTTCAAAATCAGGAGACCAAGTGATAGTCCATACCTTCCAAAGGCACTGTGACTACCCAGTTACCTTGTTCTGTTTGTTTGTTTGTTTGTTTGGTTTTGGTACCAGGGATCAAAGTCAGGACCTCACATTTGCCAAACAGGTGCTGTGCCACTGAGCTAAATCCCCAGCCCACTTACCTTGTTCTGTAAAGTCCCCATTTTCCTTTTAGTGTAGTATTTATTTGAAGAGAGGAAAAGATTGTATGCTCAGATGATTGAAGAATGCTGTTGGCTTCCCTCATCCCCTGGGTATATGTTCCCTCCAGTTCCTTATGCTGCTCTGAGTACATTGTTTCACTTTGAGCAGTAACTTGCAAAATAAATGGTGGGTAAATAATTGTGTCTCCACACAGACAAATTGGCCTTTTCCCTTTTGGCAAATAGGATGGGATTGGGAGCAGTTGACAAACATTGTACATTTCCTCTCATATTTTGGTGCTTCTACTGATTATTATTTTACTTTTTGACTAGCTTTATAAACTCAGGCAATCTGAGAAAATTATTCAAACTAGTGTGGTATTTCAGCGTTAATGATTAAATATATACATATAGATGAAAGCATGATGTATTTTGGCTAAGAAAATACTAATAGAGCAAGTTTTATTTGAGTATCTTAGATCATGAAGTTTTATCTGCTTATACTTCCTACTCATAAAATAGATTTTGTTTACTTTGAGGAAAGCTGACCATTTAAACTGAAAGTGATTTAAATTGCAGTTTAACTTTAATAGAACATAGTTTAAGTAATCTTAAATTAGATGCTTAGTGATTCCATGCATAGATCTTCTCTGTTATGAAACTTACTATGTTTAATTTTCCCAGCAGAAATTCAGGAAGCAAAAGCTCCCAGTCCTTCCATTAACCGGCAAACCAGCATTGAAACGGATAGAGTGTCTAAGGAGTTCATAGAATTTCTCAAGACCTTCCACAAGACAGGCCAAGAAATCTATAAACAGACCAAGATGTTTTTGGAAACAATGCATTACAAAAGGGTAGGTTGAGAATAACCACTTAGAGTTTTGGTTTTAGGAAAGGTCATAGAAATAATGTAATAAGATCCTGTCAGTTTACACCTGAGAAAGTCGAGACTCTGAGATGTTATTTACCTGAGAAAAAGCCTCTGAACCAAGTGAAAACCTGACTCTCAAGCTAGTACTTTTCCACTGCAGCTGAGTGGTGTTTAGGTCATCTTCTGTGGAAATTCTGGCTTTGAAACCACTTGAATTATCTACTTGAGTAATAGGGCCTCCTAACTTGTTGCCTCATAACTAGTATAAACTGCCAGGCTAGACCTTTAACTCTGTGTAACAACTCTTAGCAGCAGTAGCAATAGGTTTTTGTTGTTACTTGTCTTGGTTTTTAAATTAGGATTTAAAATTTTTCTCACTTTGTCTTGTTAGAGAAAGCTAGAATTTAGATATTGAAAAGGACCTTAGCAACTATCTGGTTTCAATCCCTTTATTTTATAGATGAGGAAATTTAGAGCCAGAGACTAAGGGACTTGTCCAAGGTTACAAGGTGAATTGGCCAATGTCAGAAATAGAACCCTGACTCACACACCTGTGCCTTTCTAACCCATGACTTAGTTACAGTAATTCCTAGGGCTGCCTGCAAAAGAATTCCTTTTGTAAGTAGGAATCAATTCTGTTTTAATATAGTGCAGCCACTAACCTGAAGAGTTAGCTCTAAACTCTCTGGTGAAGTAAAGAAGTCTTACAGAAAAAAGAAAAGGAATGAGGAAATCAGCAAGATGATTAACTGCTTAGTTCTTTTCTAGCTGTGATGAGATGTCACTAGGCTAATGGGCAGTGGACTTCTGTCAAGATATTTTTAAACATCAAATTCAGTTTTAAAGGCGAAACAGCTTTCTTGATCTTTAGGAAAATAGTGACACTGTAAGGGAGCAGCCTTCTTTTCCTTTAGGTATCTGAGCAAGTAGTGACATTTAGTTAAAGCAAGCAATCTAGCATTGATTTGAGTGTGTGTGAGAAGTAGTAATGGGCCTTCTTAATGTGGGAGGATTCAGAGTTCATGTGATACACAATTTTTGTTTTGTTTTTGGTTTTTGTTCTTTTGAGATGGGGGTCTCACTATGTAGTCTAGGCTGGCCTTGAGTTCCTCTTCCCTCAACCTTAGGTGCTGGGATGCCAGGCCTGTGCCTGGCTTACAACCTTTGTTTTAGGATGGGGGTTGGTATCGGGGATCAAACTCAGGACCTTGTGCTTTCAAGGCAGGCAGCAGAACTACTGAGCCAAATCCCCAGCCCACAACTTTTTAAAAAAATGTTTTTATTTTCTTTATTATTTATTCTTTTAACCCTAAACACCATATTTAAATATATATTTCTTGTTCCAGCAAGTTTTATCACTATCTCCTGACCTTGTAATTTGATTTTAGTGCTCTTACCCTTCCCTTCATCTTTTCTTTTCCTCCTCTGCCTTTCATATTCTGATAGTTGTGCCTTTACATTTTAACGTTATAATTGAATACATTGACTTTATATATTCTGTATGATTAAAAATTCAGTGTTTTCTCTTATATATTGAATTTAAAAGTTAAAAGCCAATAAAAAGAACATTTATATTATTGTTACTTTATAAGATCCAGGGTTATGTTTCTAGAAAAATACAACTTTTGGGCCAGGGATTTAGCTCAGTGGCACCACATCTGTCTTGTAATCACAGGGTCCTGAGTTCAGTCTCCTGCACTGGAAACAAAACAAAACACAACTTTCATTTTTAATCATAGTTGTGTAGTTTATTCTTGAGCCATCATGAAAAGTTTATAGGGCTTCTATATTACCTTAGTATTTATACTATAGTGCATATAGCATATATGCTGTGTAATAATGTAGTTTAGAAACCTATGCAACTTGGATTTGCTTTTCTTTTGTTCAGAAAAATAATGGTCTGAATTTGGTTTGGAAGAATTTCATTGACTTTTTAATCAGTACTAAAGACTTAACTAACGACTACATTAAAAACAAAAAAACCTTTTAAGCCTCTTTATCTGCATGGTGTAGATACCACTGTGCCTGTTGTCAGTGCCTCACTAATTGTTATAAGAGACCTGGGTATGGCCTCAGGCTTCTCCTATTTGAAGAGCCACTGTGCAACCCAGTTCCCGTTTCATGGTTAACACCTGAATCCCACACGTCTCAAGTGTTTTTAGCTCTAGCACAATGCTTGTCACATATCTGGTACTGAACAGATATTTTTTTTTAACTGAATGTCCTTCAGGAAGCCCTTCTGGCCTCTGTCTTCAAGTGATTGTCCTTCAAATAAATATATAATAAACACTTTTTACATCTGAATTACTTAACTATCTTTAAATCATTAATTATACATATGTCTTGGGAGAATTGATTGAGTACAACTTGCAGTAATTCCTGTGAAGTGGTGAATTACAGAATAAGATGCTGTCTAAATTCTGTTCACCAAAACTATTTCAACTTGCCTAGCACACAGAAGGTCTTGGCTTCAATCCCCTGCACCACAAAAGAGAAAAAAAAAGGAACTTAATGTTCTGACCAGTTAAACCTTCTGAATTCTACTCTGAGGGCCTATTCAGTATAAACATTGATTATTACCTATTTAAAACTGCCCTGTAGACGTTGCTGTAAACTGATAATTCTTCCCATTGTGTCCCACAGTAGTTTTCTTCCTAGATCTTGGAAATCAGAGATATGAATTCACTTGGCTGTGTCTGTTCCTACATCATTCCTGTTTCCTCCATCCTGGTGTATACCAGTGCCAAGCAATAACCTTTTCTCCCTATGGGCCAAGTCTAGAGAATTAAATATTTTCAGAACTACATTTTTTAAAAAAACTTTTTAAACTATAATATATCTCACAAAAGGAGATCCCTCTGGCTAAGATTTCAGCACACACATAATTTACGCTCACTGTGGTACTGCACTGTAATGCTTTCCTTCTTTAAATTCAACAAATGTTAATATTTTCCCATGGCTTGCCTTTTTTCACTTTTTAATATAACCAGTATTATTGTTAGCTACTTAATGTATGCATTGCCTTATTATACTTTATGTCCTGCATAATGAAATATTTCTGTTGCAAATGAGGCAAAAAATCCATTTATCTTGAACCTAAGTTCTCATCAGCTGCTTTTCTCTTAAAGGACAGACACCATACCAGTTTTAAGTTTTATTAAGAATATAGGGAGTAACAAGGGGAGAAAATGAGAACCAAGACCTGTCATGTAGAGGTACAAGATTCCAATAATGAATGTAACTGTACTGTATACCTAAAATGTATCAATAAACTCAATTTTTAAAAAAAAGAAAATAGGGAGTTGTGAAAGAGAGTAAATAGAATTTACAAAATTAAGGTTGTTTTTTTTTTAACTTCTTATCTTTATAGAAAAACTCAAATTTAAAAATCTCGCTATAAGAACCAAGCTTCATTCACACAGGTCTAAGAGTGACATGGATTCAGGGAATATGTGGTCACCCATGCAATAAAGTATGGATAGATTTGCTTTGTCATTTAGATGAAGCCTTGAGTGCAAAAGGTAGTTTTAAAACATTACATAGCCCCAGCTGGATATTAACTTTTCCCATCATAACTAGAAAACCATATTATCCAACTTTGTGAGGTCCTTGGCTTGGTGAAGAGGTTTTTTTTCCTGTGCATTTGTTTATATAAAAACATTTTCCATATACACTCCTAAGCAAGAGGTTGTGGTGCATGCCTGTAGTCCTTGCCCTTGGGAGGCTGAGGCAGGAGCATTAATTAAGCCTCTAAGCTCAAGATCAGCATGAGCAACATCATAATCAAGACAAATAAACAAAACAGTATTAGACTGCACTTAAAGCAAAGTAACTAATATTTGGAGGAATTTTTTTGCTGCCCCAGCTGTTTAGATCCTGCCCTTGATAAACATACCAAAACAAAAAACAAAAAAAAACCCAAAAACCCTCATTTTCGTGTATTCTAAGTGCAGTCTGCCTTCTCTATAAAAGCATGACCTTCCATTTTCTCAAGTACAGTCTTTTAATCGTTAGCTATTGCACGAAAGCCTTATAATAAACTCAATTTCTTAATTCAGCTTTTTAAACTAAGTTTTTATATTAGTCATATGGATAAACTGTTTTTCCTTACTAAGAAGGCAGTCAAGCAAAACTTGAGGTCTTTGCCACTTGCGTTATTTTTTTCCTGGCCAGTCATTCTTTTATAATCTGGTATTGATTATATTAAATTTACAATTTTTCCTGGTATTAATGCTCATAATATGTTTTTTCATATTTGAATGAAGAGCAAGAACTCATAGTTTAAGATGTGATTTTATCTTCAGTCACCTTTTTCCCAAAATAAAAAATTACCTTACAATGACCTCACTATTCTAAACCATACATTTATAAGGATTAGTTTGCTGTATTTAATCACTGTTAGAAGAAAACTTAATGAACAAAATGGGCATTGGAGAAAATTTTTAAAAAAGTAACAGAGGATCCAATTTTAAAATTAGAAGCAGGCCAGGGATTTAGCTCATTGGTGCCGCGACTGCCTTGCAAGTGCAAGTTCCTAAGTTTGATCCCCAGTACCAGGGGGGAAAAATAATAATAATAAATAAAACTAGAAGCAGTGCATTCTTATATGCAAAAACTAAAAAGGTCAGCCTCACAGAAGCAGAGTGTGGAAGAGTGGCTTGCAGAGGCTAGGAAAGGGTAGAGTGTAGGCCAGGCAGGTAGGAGAGAAGGGTGTGGACACTGGGGTACAGCTGGACAGGAGGGCCACCCTGTAAGTTCTGTAGCCCACACTTAATTGTGGATTTCAAAAGAGCTAAGAGAAAGGTTCCGATATGGGGATAAGTTAATGGACTTGCCAATATATCACTGTACCCTCTACATGTGTATAGTTATATGCCAATTAAAAGTTTAAAGGGAAAAAATCAAAAGCAGCAAGGATGAGAAACAAAGCACTAAGGGCAGTAGGTAAAACTCTGAGCTTCGGGAATCTAAAGTCATTAAAAA